CCCTCGCCCGGGGCGCCCGCCGAGGGGCGCGGTGCCCAGGTCCCCGGGAAGCGCCCGTTCCCCGGGTCGCGCCTAGAGCTTGATTTGCCCGGGCAGACCATGTGGGCCTTTCATTTGCATATTTGCCAATTACAGCTAGAAAACGTGTCCGAGATGGAGTTTTCGGCCAGTTGTCTTTTGATGGGAGTAGAACTAGGTCTCTGCACCGGGGACCGCCCACCCCCCATTCTCGACACACATCCCGCTCTCGGCGACTCCACCCGCACAGGCGTACAGCCGTAAAGACCCACACACCTGGCCGCTGGGGTCACCAGCCACAAACCTTAGCTGCGGGAGGGGGAAAATGGCCTTAGGCTCATTTACCCACCCCCTCGCGTGACCCGCTGGAAAACTGAGGCCCAGGCTTGGGAACCAATGCCCCTCAGTCTGCTGCCGCTCCCAGCCCCCTCCTTGCCCATCTGGTGGGACCCAGCTCTTGGTCCACGTTGACGCAGAGGCGGATTTGTGGAAGACCATATATGAACATGGGTGAAAATTTCTTATGAAATAGTCTGCTTCTTCCGACCCTCCTAGGCTGAGGGCTTGATGCAGACTAACCAGCCAGACTGGAGCCTGGAAAGCAGGCTCTCTGCGATACTGTGGGGGAAATGACTCTCAGAGGCCTCAGGGCTGGACACCCCTCCTCCCCACCGCGTTGCACACTTGGGGAGTGGTTGAATAGCTTACCTCCTCTCCAGCCTCCATGATTTCCCTTACTGGAACCTTTCCTTCCATCCCTCCCCAGTCTCATTCCACTTCCCTATCCCGTGCCATCCTCCCCAGGGCTGGGTCCTGGACTCTCTCCTCTGCTCATTCCAGATCGGAGTGATCCAACCAAAACATAACAAGGGCCACAAATCCCAATCCCATATGTAATTAAAATTTTCAAATAGCCACGTTTGTTGAAAGTTCACGGAAATTGGTAAAATTAATTTTAATAACATTTTTTTTCTATTCAGTGCATCCACAATATTATCATATCAACATGCAACCAAGATGAATGTACCGGTGGGATAGTTCACATTCTGTTACGCTAAGGCTTCGAAAGTCAGTGTGCATTTTACACTGAGAGCACGTCTGGATTCAGAGGAGACACATTTTAGACACGAAAGAGCCACACGTGACTTGTGGTTTCTGTACTAGACAGTGCACAGTCCTGGACTCTCGCGCAGGCCAGCCCACCCGAGCCCCCGGCTGTAATCAGACTGCCAACAAGGCATGGATTTTACCTCTGGTGCAGACCTCTCCTCTGTGCCCCTCGGCCTGCCTCCCACAATCCATCCCCCACCCTGCAGTCACACCACTCCTCAAAACACAGATCTGATTCTTGTCTCTTCTCAGCTCACCATCTTTCTTTCCAGCTCCTAGGATGAAGCTGAGACCCTTCCATACGGCCCGCAAGGCCCTGAATGATCCGGCTCTTCCTCCTACCCGCTGCTTTTAAGGTCTGCCCTGGTACCAGTGCTCCAGCCTCAGTGGCCTTTGAATGGGTCAGTGCTGTCCCGTCACAGGGCTTTTGTCCTTGCTGCCCTCTGCTCAGACTGCTCTGTCCCCGTTCCCACCACCCTGCCTCCACTGCCACCATCCCCAGGCTGGCTAATTCCAACTCACCCATCAGACAGCAAAGTGGTCTTCAATTCCTTCTGGAGTCCCAGACCAACCCTACCTTCCCATCTGAACGCCACTGTGCCCCCTTCATAGCACTTGCTGGAGTACAGTTGTACTTTAGTCTGACTGTTTTGTGTATGTGGTTTTTTGGTTCTTTTGCTTTTTACTATTTTTTTTGCAATAACATCTGAACTTTTATTGGCCTCCCACTCCCCAAAGAGCACCATCTCCCTCAGCCTGTTCTCCAAGCTGGCCTTCAGATTTCTCGTGGAGTCCAGGTTGGTATGGTCCGTCTCAGCTCCGTGAGGGTCATCTGGGCAGCTCCTATGTCAGTGGTCTTCAAGGTGACCACTGTGGAGCTGTCCTCCATCTGCTGGGACCAGCACTTGCCCAGCTCCTCTCGGTTTTTCTGAGCTATCTCATCATACTGGACCCAGAATGTCTGCCATGATCTTGCTGAGGTCCTGAGACTTGGGGACAGCCAACTCCACAATCAAGCCAGAGTTGGCAGTCTGGTTTTGTAGCCCCATTACTTCCTCCTCGGGGTTCTTCTTTGTGAAGAGCAGCTCCTCTTTGAAAGCCTCCATCTCTGTCTCCAGCTGCAGGTGAGTGACACTGGTGTCATCGATGACCTTGTGGGGCCTGTGGATGTCACTCTCCACAGACTGGCACATGGCCAGCTCTGTCTCACACTTGACTGTGAAGTCAGCAGCAGCGAGACAGGCGTCAATCTGCAGAACAATGCGGGCATTGTCCACAGAATTTGCAAAGATCTGAGCCCACAGGTCCTTGATGGTCAAGGAATGCCCCCAGTCTTGGACCTGGGGTCCCTTCTTCTCCAGGTGTTCGTGGATTTTGCTCTCCAGTTTCTGATTATTGGCTTCCAGGCTCCTCCCCGTCTCCAAGTAGGAGGCCAGGCAGTCATTCAAGTCTTGCATGGTCTCCTTCTCACCCTGAATGCTCCCTACGCCCACCAGAGCCCTGACCATCCCCGAGCCCACGTTCCCAGACCCCCAGCCGTGCCAGATGCTGGTGGAGCCAAACACAGAGATCAGAGAGTCTGAGACTCCGGCACCTGCATAGACACTGGCTGCACTGCTGACCAGTCGAAGCCGGTGGCCTGGCGACTGCACGGAGCCCAGGGACCAGTAGTTGGAGAAAGTGGACTTGCATTCTGAAGCTTATGCTGTTTGTCCTGCGAGGGAGGAGCATGGCCATGACTCAGGTGCTAGGCAGTAGTCTGTTTTGACGGATATCTGTCTTCCCTACTGGACGTGAAGCTCCGTGAGGGAAGGAACAGTGCCTGGTTTTGCTGACTCCTGTATCGTCAGTACCATGCATGGCGCCCGGCACGTAGTAGGGGCTCCATAAATGTGTGTTGAAGAAACCAACAAGGCTACTGTGCGCTCAAGGAAACCAGGCCACCTCGTTTTATTGCATTCCACTTGATTGCACTTCCCAGATTCTACATTTTTCCCAAATTGAAGGTTTGTGACAACCCTGCATTGTCAGGTGATGGTTAGCCTTTTTTATCAATAAAGTATTTTTTAATTAAGGTATGTCCATTTCAAAAGACATAAGGCTATCTCACCCTTAATAGAATGCGTATAGTGTACACATAACTTTTATTTGCACCGGGAAGCCCCCCAAATCCAGGTGACTCACTTTATTGAGATAATCGCTCTACTGCAGTGGTCTGGAATTGAACTTGCAAAATCTCCGAGATCTGCCTGCCACAATAAAACTAGCTGACACTTGCTCAGCCCTTCCAGTGCACCAGGGGCTACTGTCACTTTACAGATGGGGGAAAGGGACACGAGGAGGGTAAGTAACTCGCTCAAGGTCACGCAGCTAGTCAACAGTGGAAACAGAACTTGAACCCTAGACGTCTGGCTCCAGAGTGCATACTCTTAACCATCACGCTGCACTGAATTACTCAGTGTGCCTGTCTATAAACACAGATCCTGATGACACCTCCCTTAATAAAGGATTGTCAGGAGGAGCAGGGGACACTGTGCCTATGAAGTGATTCAGTAAAACAGAAAAGGCTGCATCGAGCTTCTGTTTCTTAAGGCAACCAGTTGGACAAGTTGGTGTCCAAAAGCACTTTCAGCTCCAGAACCCAGACTTCTCATGTATCTAAATCCTTATGGGAGCCTTTTGAAGATTAAAAAAAAATCCCTGAGCTGGAAAGAGGAAACATTGTCATTAATCACCAGTGGGCGGTGGGTACCAAGGTCCTGCCTTGGTTCCCCTAAATCATCACTAATGATGGCAGCTCTGGCCTTGGAGTTCCAAAAACCCCGTGGGGGCAAGGTGAAGGTCTGGTCCATGTCCAGGGGTCGCTTGTAAGGGAGTTCCCTTGGAT